GACGGACGGACGGACGGACGGACAGACAGTCACCGCTTAATCGATTTCTCTTTTCATTCTGATCATTTATGTATACATTTGTCTATATCTATCTCGATTCGTTTTGCCTGTTACAAACAACCGTTATGTGAACAAAGTTATAATACCCTTGTGCACAAGTGCGCTCGGGTATAAAAATTTTGTACGCATTTTCAATTCATTCATTTTCGAAGTTGGCAGTAAAATTGATGAAATTCATATTATTGAAATATCCAAATTTTTAAGTAAGCCATTGCACCTGTATTCAATAAATAATGGCAATACTTATTGTAGAGTTAAGTATGTTTGATTTTGTATTTATTATACCGTGACTCAATTGTCCATACAGTGATTATTTTACAATTTATAACAATTCAACAAATTTTCATTAATATTAAAAACAGAATTTTTAGTATGTATTTATGTATGTACATGAAAATTAATTCAAGCGTGCGTTATATGGAGGAAAACAAATCACAAAAATCAACGCGAATTTTGAGCCACTTCAATTTGCACTTTGCATAATAAAATTGAATGGGCTGAAAACTGCGTACTAAAAATTCCGTTTAAAAAATGTATAATTTTTAAGAAAATTTTTTAGAATTGTTCTAAATTTTAAACGAATTTTGAAATTTTGATTTTTTTATAGTATGAACAATTTTTTTATAAAAAAATTAACAAAAAAAAATTACTGGTTTTTTAAATTAAAATAAAAGTTTTTGTTATTTTTATGGCCTTTATAACAATTATATTCAAAAATTAAACAATTCAACAACCACATGATCAAGTGAATTGCAGCGGAATAGCTGCGCTTGATTGTAGTTGGCTTAGCAAAGTGAAATAGTGGAAAATAAGCAACAAGAATTAACAAGACAAACTTAGCACAGTGCGTAGGCAACTGGCTGAGTCAGTGGTGATCGTCGGTTCGAATCCTACTGAAAGAAGTCTGATGAGGAAATGTGGTGATTTTCGAAATAGCTATCACTTCTACCATTTTTTCAAATTATTGTTGCTTTTCCACAATAAGTTTTCACTGAAAACGGCCTCGAGCTCATAAAAATTGTTGAATATAATTAAAATAAAAGAAATTAAAAAAATATATAAATAACTTGTTTTTATACTTGTGGAAATTATAAGCTTAGAGGTTTTAAATGTTAATAGTTAAACCAACATTGAAGTCGTGTTTGAAGCAACCTTGAAAAAAAGTCAAACCAACTACTTTTCAATGTTAAATTAACAACTCTATATTCTTAGGTCAACATTGGGAGTATTTCAATTGACTGTAATCATTGTTAAAACAAAAACAAAGTCAAGTTTAAATCACTTTATTTTCGAAGTTGAATGAAAGATACGCATTTTTAAATCAACATTAATGCAATTTGAATTGAAAAGAAACAATCTTAAAATATCAACACTATTTTTCAACGTAAGATTCACATTTCCATAGTTCATTTGACATATTTCAGCTTTGGTAGACCATCATAGCTGTTTATTGTAGAATCAACCTCGTTATTGTAGCACTTACCTTTGTTTTTTCCTTCAGTGTACTCATATTTTTAAATTTTAAAGTCCTTAAAAAACTCCCGACGTCAGAGAAAAGAACTCAAAACGTAATTTTACTATATTTGGCCCATGGTTTAGGGCACAGCTGGGCAGCGTCTGCCCGGCGGGCGACTGCGCGACGTATTCGCGTATACATACACGCTATGCTTAAGAAGGCAGCGAAAGCTTCATTCAACTGCACGACATATTCGCACGCATACAGTGACATCAATTGCACGCACACTACAATAATGCTCTGCCGACTGCCCACCTCTGGTTTAGGGAATACAGTTTTTTGTGTGTACTATTATTGCCACCACTACTGCAAATTACAAATCCCGAAGATCCCGGGATTCTTGGCAAATAACACATCCCTACTCTGATCATACTTTATCTACGCTTTTTATTATGTTTGTGAAACCTTTTCTAACCAATGTGCACTTATCTGAAAACGAACGATTTTAGAACGCTTACCTGAAAGCTGTAGTACATTTTAACTACCCATTGGTGGTCGGCTTCAACAAGCACGTCGCGTTCTGCGCGCACATGGGCGACTTGCTCCTTTTCAAGCATATCTGCTTTACGTAAAACTTTCATAGCATAAACATGCCCTGTGTCCTTTTTTTGCACCAGTCGAACTTCTCCAAAAGCACCTCTTCCAATAACTTTTAATGCTTCGAAGTCCTCAACACCTAATCGTAATCTTTTTAGACGTAAAAACTCTGTTTCTTTCTGTGCATGCTGGATCCTTTTCTCTTGTCTCTGTGACTCTGTTAGACTTTCATCCTTTAGCTGGGCTTCTAGTTTAGCAAGTCGTTGCTTGCGCTCTCCATATTGGGTTACCAAATTACTATAATAATTTTCCAAAGTGACCTTGGCTTTTGTTGCTTTGTCCAGTGTATGGTCGCTAAAACGAATGGAAGAACCATCTGCACTCATTGCGAGATGACTTAAGTTACCGCAATTCATAAGCAATCCAGTCGTTTTTGGAGAAATAGGCCTTTGAAACGAGCCGTCTCACAGCGAACCTTGAAAGAGAAATTAAAATTATTCCTAATTAATACAGCTTAATTTCGTTATTTGCAGCAATATACTATTAATAGGTACTAATTATACTTATACTATTCGCGTTTTTTTCTTATTTCAGAAACTCTTTTCTGTTAATAAAGATCCTGTGTCCTTTCACAAAATTAGAGTATTTTCCAGAAGATTTTTTGGCATGTTGTTTAGAGCCAAAATGAAAGGTTCATGCGAAAAATCGAGCATCCCCTAGTTCTTGTGAAGGTTCTGACATTATTTGTCTTTATTCCCTGGAAAATACATTGGGCGTCAAGAGAAAAGCGTGAATAACTTCCGTCTCGATGCATTCCGGCAATTTTTTTTTTTGCAAATAATTGTTAATAGAACATACAATATAAATTGTTAATAGAACATACAATACTAGCCCAAAGCGGGATTTTAAAGCCCTTGGATGTCAGTAATATTTAAAAAAAAAAATAATAACTTTTACAAAAAAAAAAAAATTATGACTAATTAAAAAATAAAACTGGGAAGAAAATATCATCATTCTTAACTGTTTAAAAAATGAGCAGAATGTAACTATACCTTCCAACATAATTCTAATTTCGAAATATTGTGACACTTGTATTTTTTCTGTTTTCGTTGTGAAGCATAAACAGATACTTGCTCTAAAAAGCTAGACCTTCGAAAAAATGGTGGCCCACTTCACAAATTTTTACTTACTTGTAATTAAGATTTATGTATGATTAGCGTTCACAGAGGTTTTGTAAAAAAAATATGAAGAAATCATCACTAAAACAATTTATCGATTTGCAGAAGACACTCGAAGACTATTGTTTAAATAAACAAGAAATTTTTTTGCAAAAATCAAAATCGGATCTACACCAAATTAGGATAGGACCACCTGTGAGGTACCACCTTTTCTTTAAACAAAGGATCTGACGGTTATGCGTTATCATACATAAAAAAAATATTCCAACGTATAGATAATGACTTCCTTTCTTTAAAAGTATGTTCACATTATCGTAATTTACGGCTCATTTGTAATTTATAAGAAAATCATGCTGAAATCAAGTAATTTCGCCTTGTATAATCTGTCAATAAATTAAATTGAAATGAGATAATTTATCATACAAAAAAAAAAGATTTTTTATTTATTTTAGCCCTCACTGTTGAGGAAATTTAAAAAAAAAATGCCCAAAGGTATGCAACCATTTATTTATTTTTAATCAAGTACGGGGCGAACGCAGGTAGAGGTTTTGGGGGTTCAAACCCGGCGCCCCCGAAATGCCTGTGGAAAATTCTTTTCATATAGTTTATTGCATAAACCAAGGCACTACTGATTTTATTTCCATAAGTGTATGCATTTTCAACTATTTGCGAAAATCTGCAGATAAAGAACAAAACAAGGAGAATGAATACAAGGTTGTGTACAACAGACACATAATTTTAACACAACCTTGTATGAATTCGTCTTGGAACCAACATAATCCCTACAACTACTACACACATATATACTACACGCATATTTTTGATTTGAATTTTAAGATTTTCGAAGCTTTCGAAAGGGTAAAAATAATTGCACTCGAATTGCTTATTTCCACATTTTGCATGTTCAATATCATTTAGAGTTTCAACGTGAAAGCGGTGTTACTGATCAATATTTTGAGATAAGATAAATTTACCTATTTGGGATTAAAGGTGTATTTTCAATGACCGTGAATCACCAAAACAAAAAGTGCTACTTTCCGAATGCTTTCCGTAAAAGTAACGGACTTTTTTTAAACCGGCTGTATTTGCACAAACTACAGTGGCAGCCGAAAATTCACCTAACGAGTTTCTACAAGCGAAACATTTAAGACGCTCCGACGCTGACGGCCTTAGTGCACCTGGTTTTAGAGTAAGTCACCGATTCCCACAGTTCCCAGTATATAAGGATGAGATAGATAAAAATCCTATTGGAATTTTACTACCATGTATGAATACTAACAATTAAGGTACTGGAACCATATATGTAATACGTCTATATTGATAGTAAGCTAACATCTCAATGTGAAAGCATTCCGAAATCAAAGCGAGACAGTCTAGTACTGTTTTTGTCAATGTATTGTGTACTTGAGTGCCGGTTTTGTAAATGTGTCGTGTACATGTTTATTTATAAACGTATGTGTTCCTTTTCTTTCGTACGTGTTTATTGATATATCTGTACTGTAGTGTTTTCGGACGGTACTAGCTCTTACTGCCAATATAGGAGTATTACATATATGACTGGAACAATGCAGGCTTGCTTTGCTTGCTTCCCTATGAGAACTGTCAAAAGTTATTTGGAGTATACTAAAACGTATGAAGGGTGGCCAAATTGTAACTTTGCTTCACTTGCTTTAAGCGCCTCAAAGTTTCAAATAATAATAATAATAATAATAATAATAATAATAATAATAATAGATTGGCGCTTACACATATGTTAGTGTTTNGATCACTGACCCCTACCATTTGTCTCACAGTGTTATTGATGTGTGTAATTTTTCGTTAAATAAAAGCGTAAATTTATGAATTGCAATCAACGATGCACATAGGGGTATTTGAACGATTTAGGCGGCCAAAAACCAATTNCCGATGTTTCAAATAGGCAAATGTTTTATTTGAAAGCGTTTTGGAGGCTTTTAACAAAAATGTATGTTCCCGTTCTAAATAAATTCAAACAAACTGTTGCACACTTTTATGAAAAATATTTGCTTACGTAGAGCGTGTGTGAATCGGTAATAAAGTTCGCGGGGAGTAAATTTTTGACAACTATGAGGTGCATAAAATTTCAGTAGCTCATGAGGCTAGTGAAATTTTTGACAAATGCATAGAAAATTTGGACAATCGCAAAGATTACACNAAAAGATCGTGACGGTTTCAAGTTAATATTTTGATTACTGCATTATATTCTTAAAAAGTAGTGATGGAGNACACTATGCCAAAATAGGGATGGGATGAAACCAACGGGAAATGTTATATCGGTCAAAAACAAGTTATACGCGGCCCGGCGTTTCGCTGGGTCACGTCTAGGAATCGAGATATATCGATTTGAAGTTAGTAACTATCATATAGGGGAAATTGTCACCTTTCGTGGTCTTTTTTTTGACATAACTCGAGAACCACTAGTCCGATTTTGCTCAAACAAATTTAAAAAAATTAAAAATTACAATTCCTTTAATCTGTTCATATAACGTTTTTCTATATAATCAACAGTTTTGCCGGTAAAAATAAATGTATGAAGAAAAANATCCATTTAATTTAACAAATAAATAGTTTTCGAGATATTAGCAAAAGCCATGTTTTCTGGGACCTTTCGGTCCTGTTGCTAGGTATCTGTGGGAATGCAAGGCTAACTATGTTACATATTTCGGAATACAATTTTTTTTTCCTTTACATTTGTGTTATATAAGTGATGATTAAAGAAATAGTTTTGGGTATACTAGCGTTTAAATTTAGATAAATGTAAATTTAGACAAATCTACGATATTTCAGTAAATATTGTATCCAAATTGTTAAAAATTAGTATGTAAAGTAAAATTTTGGATAAAATAGGATTATTATTAAAGTTTTAGAAAATGGTGTGGCCCCGCCCACTTATGATGAAATTCTGTATCTCAGTATCCGCTTCACTAATCCGTACCAAACTCGGTATGAGCCTTGCTTAGGCTATATCTAACATAACTGCTAAAAATTCTTGAAATCGGGCGATAACCGCGCCCATTTCCCATATAACGGTAATTTACAGAAACGCGAAAACTGCGATAAATCAATNCAAAGGTTCTCGAGTTATGTCAAAAAAAAGACCACCAAAGGTGACAATTCCCCCNAGGAATAACCTATTACCATTAATTAAAATTATTATAACTTTTTGGATAATGGGCGTGGCGCCGCGCGCTTTTGACCACAAATGTCAAACTCGGTGCACTTGGTATGGAAAAGCAATGCGTTGAAAATACGAAAACTCCGATATTTCAGTAATTGAGGACGCTAATTTACTCCAAATTAATACTTACAAAATTCTCTTAACAATAAATAATACTGTTATTATTACAAAAATGTAGTTTTATTACATTGAGTGCGTTCGAGCTACGTAATAGTTACCGCAATATTGCAGACTTGTTGCTTTCCAGATGACAAGTTGCTGATGCTCAACTTATAGTGTTTTCTTTTCTCGAAAAAAGGCTGCAATTATTCTGCCTTGTATTAGCGCTGTCACATTTTCATGTTCTTTTCTCAGCCCTTTCACAAGGCGTCGTGTTCTTTTCTCAGCAGGTTGCGCTCTGATCCGGCGAAAGTGCTGCCTTTTCTGCCCTCAAATAAACGTGAGGGTGAGAGTTACATGGTTGATTTTTAATTTAATCTTGTAAAAATGCAATTATTTTCCCTATCAGAAATAAGTGTTTTGCTTTAAAATTGTTAAAGACTTACAGGCCAAGTGAATAATTCAGCTTTATTAAGTTCTATAAATAAATTGTGATGGAGTAGTGTATTTTCTGTTTCATTCTCATATAAAGAACGCAAAATTTTCTCAGGTTTCAGGGCAACGCAAAGCAAGAGTTCCCATATAAAAGGGCAGAACTTTCTTTGAGAAAAGAAAACGGTATTAAACTTTTCTAAAATGTTGCAGAAATTGCGCAGTAAAAAATTTTATGTTGCTTTTGATTTGCCAATGATGAGTAACTGATTGTCAAAATTTTGTTCGCCCAAATTTTCGCGTAGAACGTGATGCTCTTTCATAAAAGAGTAACATTGCCGCATTAATTGCACCGCGAATGCACCCATTTCTTACCTATACTGTGATACATACTTGAATTATTTAATTCCTTTAATTAAAGTTGAATTTGATTTTTTAAACCCTGGAAGGTTCCTTAGATATAGAGCCTTTTCAAACCCATTTCCATCGATTCCCATATTGCAGCAATTCATTTAACTAATTGAACAAAATTTTTTAACAGGTGGCAACCCTCTTAATGTTTTAACCTAT